GTCCAGAGAGGTGCCTGACGGAAGCTGTTCCTGCGCGACCAGCGTGAGCCATCGTGCCGATTGCCAGTTTCCGTCGCGGATGGCCATCGACCGCGCCTTGAACTCCAGCACGACCAGATCCGCCGTCTTGATGACCTCCCCGCGCAGGATGCCGTCGAGCGCCAGCCCCGGCGGGCGGAGGACCCGCCCCTCGACTGACCCCAGCGTCTGCGGCGGGTGAGCATCGAAGAACACCGTGTTCAGGAACTGTGCGACACACGGGGCCCGCAGGTCGGCCTCGCCTGCAGACAACTGCTGAGTGAACTGGCTGCGCAGGTGGCCAAGCCCACTCACGAGGAGAGCGTCGGGCCGCTGTCAAGCAATCCAGCCGAACAAGTCGCGCTTGCTGCTCACGCCCTGGTAGCGGTCGCGGCCCCCAAGGCGCCCTGTGTCGCTCTCCGCGCCGTCCTCCACGTCGTCGTCGTCGCGGTCCAGGAGCGCCGCGGTCACGGCCGATGCTGGCCTGCTCCTCCTCCCCGAGGCGCCAGTGCGCGCTGGGGCAGCAGCGGCGGCTCGGCCAGCAACCTCCTGTGCCAGGCGCTCGCCTACGGCTCCTGCCGGGCGCGCAGCGTTCTTGGGCGTGCCCTGCCTCGGCACGCCACGAGCTGCCCTGCCCTCCAGCCGCGCCAGCCGCGCCTCGAGCTCGGGGTCCTCGGCGGTCTCCTCGAGCCCGGCGAACTCCTGGTCGAGTGGGCTCGCCACTCCTGGACCGCCCGGGGTCTGGGTGCCCTCCACCTCGCGGGCGCACTTGTGCGGAGGCCCGCGAGGCTCCTCCTTGACTTTGTTGCTCCCATCCCCGAGCGGCCAGCCGCCGACCTCTCCAGGCAGTGGCTCGGCCGAGGGCGCGTCGGTCCGCACAGGCGCCCCAGGATTCGCTGCTGGGCAGATGAGCTTCGCCCGCTCGCGGGCCACGCCGCGGGGGTCCACTACCTGCCACACGACCAAGTGCTCGACCACAGCGCCAGCTGGAGCGACCGTCCCGCACTTGTTGGCGCTGCACCTGCAGAGGTGGAAGACCGTGGCCGCGGGGCGTGCGCCCCGCTGCCCGCAGGTGGCCGCCTACCATGAGATGTACGGGTCCCTGGCGCCCACCTGCCGGGCCTTGATGAATCTGCCGAAAGTGTCCGCCTGGTAGGCGACCTCGACCTCGAGCATCTCGACGCCCTGCGGCGCCCCTGCGTCGTCCTAGACCCGCGCCAGGACCCGTGCACCAGCCCTCGGCGGCAGCCCCGCCACCAGCTCGTCGTTCAGCACCGCGTCGAGCCAGGCTCCTCTCGGGAAGGGCCACCCGCCGGCAGCCGGGGCTGCCCGGTCCATCGGGCTCCTCGCCAGCAACAAAGCGGGAGAGGGGCGACCCGCGCCCGGGATCCTCGTCTCCCAGCCAGGTCTTCGCTCCCCTCACCCCACCAAGGCTGCCAGCGAGGCTGATCAGAATCAGTCGTCTGAGCGTGGCCCTGCAAGTGGCCGCGCGCGGCGCGGCAGTCTTTCAGTAGACAGAGTGGCTTGGCAGCGGCCACAGACGGGCGGCACCGCCCGGTGACTCCGCTGCCTGTCGCAAGCCAACACAGCTACGGAAGATGGATGAAACTCACGTTATCCATCAACGGCGTCGCGCACGCTCAGGTGGACTCCGCATAGGTTTCCTTGGAAGGTTCATATATATATATATATATGAATTATATAATATATTATATTATATATATGCACACAGTATGCACGCACGCGCACACACACACACAAACACACACACACACATACACACACACACACACACACGGACGCACACTTTTTGCGTCGGCGGCTGGGCAGAGGGTGACTGCTCCGGCGGAATGGCAACTGGGGACACGCTGTATGCAAATTAAGGCCGCAATGCACGGGGAGGGGGAGGAGCCCCAGCGCAACAGGGGGGGAGGAAGCCGGGCCACTCAGAGCTGACGACTGCGGCGGAGGGGTCGCCGAGGTGGGAGACCAGCGCAGGCACTGAGCTGCACTGAGCTGCACTGAACTGAAGCTGGGGGTGGGCAGCACTGTCCTGCAACTGGTGACGGAGAAATACAACGAAGCGAGCCCCGACCCTGCCCAAGGCACGGTCCAAGGATGGGCCGAGTGTCAAGACCAGCGGGCCAACGAGGCGCGTGCAGGGGAATGCCGGGGGGGGAGCCAGCGCGCTGAGCTGCACTGAGCTGCACTGAGCTAAGCTGGGCAGCGCAGAGCTGCATAGCAGAAGCTGGGGGAACGCGCGGCCCAGCTGACTGAGCGGCAAAAGAGAGGCAACGGGAGCGCCAGCACGGCCCGGCGAACCACCAGGTGCGGCCCAGAGGGCATCTGACGCACCGAGACCCGGGGGCCTCGAGGCCTGGACTGAACTGCGCAAGGCAAGAAGGGGCCAAGGGGCAATCTCGGAAGCGAGC